CTCCTGCTGGCCACACCATTCCTGATCCAAGCCAGGATGCCGCTGGCCTTCTTGGCCACCTGGGCACACTGCTGGCTCATGTTCAGCGGCTGTCGACCAGCACCCCAGGTCCTTTTCCGCTGAGCAGCTCTCCAGCCACTTCTCCCCAAGCCATATACAACTGCCCCAAGCTATTCAACCACCTTGGGATCCAGGATCCAGCCATCTTGAAATACTGTGTAAGGAAGCAAGATAAACCCCACAGGTCTCACCATCTGTAAAACATTAAACATACTCCTTACATGAAAGATTTAGCAAGTTTCAGCTCACCTCTGCGAGTGCGTTAGACCAGGCGATCATAAGCATCCTATTTCATTAGCTGTGTTTCATTGCCTGGTTTGCAGGCTTTCAGGGAGGATTTTCAGGGATTTGTTTCTAGAGACTGACGGGAATTTGGACCTCCCTTCCCTGACCGTTGTCCATTTTTCTTCCACCGCAGAATGCTGTTGGATCAGTCTATCCAAGCCATGATGCCTGCCACCAACAGCAGCGGCCAGTCCACGCAGAGCAGTGCCGGCAGGCAGCAAGGAAAGTGAGTCTTTGCTGGTCTCTGGTTTCACACAGTGTTTTAGCAGGGCACTTTACAGCACTGAAAGTTATGTTGAAAAACATGTATGTGATCACGCAAACACAAACAGTCTCAGTCTTAAAAGAAACAAAAGCTCAGCTGGTTACGAGAAAAAGTAATGAGAATTTTTTTTAATTAGAAAGAAATTTATGATCACTAAAATGCTTTGGGAAAAAAAACCCCTAAGTCTTCTGGCTTTTGCAAAGTCTAAAATGCCTAATCAAGTCATGGAGGAGATATACATCCTTAAAAACGTTAATTTTCTGTAGTTCCAGTCTGTGCTTGATGGGGAGGCGAAATCTGAGACCTGCTTTCGCCAGGCGCTGCATGGTTTGAGAAACCCCGCTCCAGTCTGGTTCCTTCAGCACTCCGGTGGTGGGCCTGGGTTCTCATGCCTCATTTTCCTCCCCGTGGCAGATTCGTTGCTGAGCAGCAGATCTTGCCTACCCCAAGACACATGCAACCGGTTACCTGTAGCACCATCCGACCTCCAGCCTCGTCGCCCGTTTTCTCCCCGTCTCTGATGATCCCACACGCCAGCTTCACATCCCACCAGGCAAACACACCGGTTCATCAAGTGGACCTATACCACAGGTTCAGTGGCATCGTCTCTACCTTCAGGTAATGGAGCTGGAACAGGTTTCTGAGGATGCACAGGGATGGCTTTGGGGTTGGGTTAGCTTTTTTGAAGAAATGGGGCTTACCTGGCAAGTCAAAGCTGGTTGGTGGACTCGCGTGTCCTCCATTCCCATTGTATCTGCGCGCACCCAAGTGCTCAGCCTTTCCAGGCTGGCTCTGCACCCGTTCAAGGCCATATTTTTCAACAAACTCGGTTATCACTTAGTGTCCAGAAGAAACATCCAGTTTTTCAAACACAGCTTGTCATCCAGAGGAGCTCTGGTGGGAATCTTGTAGTAGACATGAAACATGAGAAGGGATAAGTTCTTTGGAAAACATGCCTCCTGCTGTTATGTCTCAGCATAGAAAGGTTTTTTATCAGCTGTCATCACTGCTGTCTTTTAATAAATGGGTGTTTCACGACACAGATCTGTGGAGAAGGTGATTTTGGTTTTTCAAAGCACAGCTTCACCAGTGCATGCCAAACCAATGACACTGCCAAGGAGAGGGGTTCTTGAAACTATTAATTGATTAGTAATATGGCCTCCAAGACTTTCCTGATTGGCAGCAGTAAGTTACATTCTTCCAGGCAAAGATGGTAGAAAAAAAAGCAGGAGGAGTAGGTACAGCTGAAAGCAGGCACGCAGCAGGACTGCATTTAGAGTAAGAAATGAATCATGGTTGTCAACAAATGTGGGCATGTGAGGGCATGAGCTGTCCCCAATTTGGGTACACATGCTCACGGGCTGCACTGAGGTCCTGAGGACTAGCAGTATCAGCAGCAGAGTGATGCTGGGGGAGATAAATAGCTGCAGGGCAACAGAAAACCAGGCTTTGGTGCCTAATTAAAGGCATAACAGGGGGTGAACCCGCCACGGGGTGGTACCCCAAAGCCATGGACAAACAGGCTGGGTGGAGAATGGATTGAGAGCAGACCTGAGGAGAAGGCCTTGGGAGTGTTGATTGAGGAGAAACTCAACACGATCCGGCAATGTGTGCTGGCAGCCCAGCAGGCCAACTGTACCCTGGGCTGCATCCCCAGCAGCGTGGCCAGCAGGGTGCGGGAGGGGATTCTGCCCCTCTTCTCCACTCTGGTGAGACCCCACCTGGAGTCCTGCTTCCAGCTCTGGAGCCCTCAGCACAGGAGAGACATGGACCTATTGGAGCGGATCCAGAGGAGGCCACAAAAATGATCCGAGGGCTGGAACCCCTCTGCTGTGAGGAGAGGCTGAGAGAGTTGGGGCTGTTCAGCCTGGAGAAGAGAAGGCTCTGGGGAGACCTTATTGTGGTCTTCCAGTGCCTAAAGGGACTTATAAGAAAGATGAGGACAGACTTTTTAGCAGAGCCTCTAGCGATTGGACAAGAGGTAATGGCTTTAAAGAGGGGAGATTTAGACTGGGTAGGAAGAAAACAGTAT